TTTTAACGACCAAATTGTGTTCACTATATATATATAGACATTATATATGAAATATATATACTGTATATAAACTGTATATAAAGTATATATATATATATATATATATATATATATATATATATATATATATATATCGATCACGAATTTAAAGTCCACACCAAACAACTACAATATCTATATGTTGTTTGAGTGACGGACCACTTAATGGTGTTTCAAATATTAAAAAAAGTGTTTAAAATTATTGAAAGAAAAGATACTGTATTTGAACACATWTTTTTTGTCCATTTATTGTAAATTTGATATATTTTATACAATATTTGAAATATAAAGTCTTGCGAAGTAAATAAATAAAGTACTCATCAATTGCAGGATTTTTATCTCTTCATATATTATATATACTGTATATACTGTATATATATATATATATATATATATATACAGTATATAACTTTAATCGCTAATTTTTTTAATAACCATATAAACAAATATATTAAAAAATAAAGTATTTTATATTTGATTTTATATATTGTGTTTACTTAAAGTTATATCCATTTTACAACTTTATTTATTTGTACTGTACTTTGCATTGTTGTTACCATTTTTAAAAAATCACCGAAATATAAATAGGCAAACAAGTGTTTTCAAGTATGTTTGCTTATCGACACTATTTTTTGATGCCATTTCAATATAGAAAACAAATATAAAACCTTATTTAATAAGCCTATAAGTGGCCCATAAATTCAGTTCAAGATTTTTAAATTCCATTAAATTAAAGGTAAAGTTTTATATAATACTAATATAAACTTTAATAAAAATTCCAACAATATTTCCAACAAACTTATTGATTAAAGTTTATTAAAACTAGAATAGAAATACCACAAATATATATATATATAAATTTATAAATAACTATCATTTAAAATTAAAATATATTTTTACTTTATAAATACTAATTAACCTTTAAAAATTTAAAAATTATTTTTTCTAAACATTCTTATAGTGTAAACTACAATATATTAAATGTATATAAAGCTTATTATAGATTTGTCACATCACTACACAAACAATTATTTATCTCATATATTAAAAGAAATTAATTGAATAACAAATGTGTTGTTAAGTTAATCTCAAACGAAAAAAATAATTCATTTTAAACCCACAAAAGAAAACACAGAATATTTTATTACATAAATACATAGTATTGTATACATTGCGAKAATAGGCTTATAAAATATTCTGTGAATAGTGTATTATAATAGTGTATTATTTGTCAGACAAACATCAAAAATATACACACAAAAAGTGATACATATGTAGTATACTATTATTCTTTATATTTATATACTTATAAAAACTATATATACTGTATATACATATTATAATATCGCATTTACGCATTTGAATAAGTTAGAGCTGAAGGGCGTTGGGTTTTATTTAACTTAGTTTATATAATATTATCAATGGTTACTAAAAAAAGTAAAGACAAAGAAATTATCACAATTTTATAAGAAAAGAAAAGTTTAATAATTAAAAGGTTTTTGCTTTTTATGTTTAATATTCATAATAGTCTTGTTATCAGTTAGTGTCTGACAGAGTTATAGACATGTTTAATAGCACTGCAGATATAATCAATTTTCTCAACATTTTTTCATATTTAAACATTGCTTAGTTAATGCATATTACAGTAATATTCAATATATTTTAGTAAATGTAAGAATTAGATAAATATATTATAATTTATGTATTGATTATAATATAATAAAAATGATAACTTAGTTAACCTTTTGTTTTACATGTTATGTATTCAATAAAATTAGACATAATATCCGGCCTTTGTTTTAAATAAATATATTGAGTCTATTATATATTAATTTTTAAATAATAAGTATAGTTTGTAAAGTTACTAAATAAAAAAATCTTAATAATAGATATATTAAATAAAATAAAAATTGTATGAAAAATTAAATATGTAATTTATAATTACAAAATTTTTAGGTCTAATCTATTGACTTAATATATTGCACAAAGAAAATTAAAATAATATATACATAAAATATTATGCATATATATATATATATATATATATATTTCTATATATGGTTTTGAAAATATAGTTAAATAATTTACTATTAATCATATGCATAACGTGCAAATAGATTGCCGAAAATAATAATTTTTATATTATTATTATTCATGTATTGTTTTTATTCGTTTATTTAATCATTATTATTATTTTTTAATTTTAAATAATAATTGATAAACAAAAGCTATTTTAATTAAATAACAAAAWATAACAATTAAAWTAGCAAATAAAATGGTTCTGATAATTAATCTTTATTTATATCACGCTAACTCATTTTAAATCTTTTTATAATATAAAATATCTTTATTAAATTATATAGTTATTGAAAAATGATAATACTATTATTATCTAAATTTATTATTAAATAACTTTAGATTTAAAATTCAYCTAAAATAGCAAAATAAAGCATTAGACWGCTATTATAAAATGCCCTAAAATATAATATATAATTTAATTATTTAATATTTTTTTAAAAATTTTTTGATTATCATATAAACATTTAATCACTCTTTTTGAATGACATTATTAATTTAAAATATAATAATATTAATAATAAATTATACATAGCTAATTAATATAAAATGATAAAAATAAATAAAAAAWCAACGATAGTCCTCTAATGATTAGTATTATAATATTTATTTTTTATATTTCTATATAACATGTGGTTTTAAATTACAATTTTGGATCTATTTTTATGTTAATTAATTATTTTTAATAATTAAAAAGTTAACGCTAATTATTGATATGTTGTGTGTGTGTGTGTGTGTGTGTCACATGAGATAACACTATAAAATTTTTGCATTTCATTTAAGTATTATATTTTCAAAATAAACTACATTTTTATTATATCAATATAAGTTACTACATGTATTGTTTCATATAATGATTTACCTATTATTACAAAACGTTGACTTATCAATAAAAATGACATTTTTGTTGACTGTTTTATCTCTTTTATTTTTAAATGTATTATAACTAAAACTAATAGTGTAAAAAATTAATTATAAAACTAATTAAAATACTAACAAAATTCATGACAACAAATGCCAGTAAAATGTAAAACATAAAAAATWAAAATATGATATTATATTGACTACTATTTGGTTATATTAGATAACAAGACATTGATTGTCATAGAAATATAAAATTAAAATTAAACTTCAATTTTAGTGACACATAAATAATTTATAAAATAGTAATTATATTGAATATATAACACGATTTGAACGAAAGTTGGCAAATATAAGTGAAACCAAATGTAATAATAAGTAAATATCGGTTGAAGTGATTGGAAACGAGAAATTGTTTGGACAGACATCACATCAGTGTCTTAGTGTATATCCCTGAGTGAGCTCTGATAGACTCAAACATATACAGTACATAACTGTAACCACTGTATCCATAACTGTATCTATAATCACATTTCTCAATAAACTATGTGTTATTTAAAAGAAATTGGATCTAAAGGGAAAGGGAGATTGTGTTATAAACATATAGACTACAAATATGATCGCATGAAAGCACACATTGGGCACTGGTAGGTTAGGCCACTAATTTTCACACCACTATTATTATATACATATATTCTACAGTATATAAAATATATAGAATTACTGTATTAAAAGTTTTCTATTTAATGACAAACTTAATATTGAATATTTGTCATCAAAAACATAAATATTAAGGTATAGAATATATATAAACATATATAYCGGTATATAAACAGTATTTTTATCTATAAAATTATTACCAAAAATATTTAGTAAAAATTATATTATAAATACTAATATATTTCATTTGTCAAAAGTGATTGCTTTCCATAGCATAGCAACCAATCATTTGATATTACTTACCGCAAAAATATTCTGGCGTTAAGTCATACATATAGATAGATATATAACTTATTTATGTATACATTGTACTGTATATAGTATTTAATGGAAAGTATGTTAAATCCGAGACCCGAAACCATTAACCGCACAAATGTATAGTAAATAACTCACGTGTTATTTGTGGCACTCATTGTAATGCATACTCATTGGCACTGGTATTAAGTGTTTGACTAGTAATGCAATAGTAATGCAATCACTATTTATTACCAGCAAATAATGTGTTGGTATTATTTTGTCGACACATTTGGTGGCAAATATATTGAAAATATTGTATATTATTAAGAATAATATTCTTATTTATTACACAACTATTAATACCTATTAAAAAAACTAAATATTATGTTAAAGATTTTGTATGATTTTATATTGAATTTACATAATTTAYTTTTTATGTATTATGCAATATTGTATATAAATTTTATAATCTTATTTTATTTATACTTTTTAAAAAATATGAAAAAATATAATTGACAAAAGAATCGCATTTTATTATTTATATGATTTTAAATACAATATTACATAAAATTTAAATAAAAATCTTATTTTTYATTTTTTGTATTTTTCATTATATTTACAGTATGTTGCACTACATTGTAATATATAGTTAAAAAAATTGTGAATTCAATGCATCTTTCATAAGATATTTGTTGCCATTATTGTCAATAATATGAAAATTTTCATAACATAATTGATAATAAAATTAATATAAAATACTGTATACTTTTTTTAATACATTAGTATATTATTTATATATTATTTATATATTAATATTATATATAATATAATAGTATTTGGAAGACACGATACAATGTCTGATGACTGGAGGCAGTGATGATATTAAAGTTGTGTGTAATATGTTGTTCACTCCCTCTTCACTCATATAATCAGATTCCTATTGTTGACTAATAATTTGCAATAAGTTTTTTAGTGATTAAAGAGACTGTAAGACGAAACCAACAAAATCGGTGCTAAATATATTGAAAAGAGAGAGACATTATTTGAAGTAATGGAGAGAACTGGTAGATAGTGATGGTGTTTGTGTTCATACAAACACACATTTGGCAGTAATTTTGTCGACAAATATAAATACTATCTCTCTCTTAGCAAACGGTAGCGTCGGCTCGACAACTGGCCTCCGGCGGTACAATAAATAACTTTCCCGAGTGGGCGCACAAACATAATTGATATATAGCCGGATAGGTTCGACCCCTTTTTGTTGGATAAGCTGTTTTTATACCACGAAATTCAATTTGTTTGGCATTCAAATGTATCTATAATTACAAAGATATCAGTTAATACACTGTTTTGTATAGATATATTATGAGGACAACAAATTAATGCAAATGTATGTATAAATATAATTAATAAAATAGTTTGTGTGTATAAAAAATAGTATTAAATCAATGCATATAAATCATAAATTAAAAACACTGACAAAAATATTTAAGGAATCGAAGTCAGTAATAGAAATATGAATCAAACAACAATTTTTTTTTGAAGAAGTAATCAAAAATTTTATTTTATTTCTACCCCTACATAACGGTTCCCCTCGTGGACTACCATAACTTCCTACTATGCTTTCAATCTATTTAGTTAATATATAAAAATATATTAAAGCATAAGAAAAATTTTTAGAAAAAAGAGGAAATTTATTAAAGTCATCAAATATATATATATATAACTTTTTATATAATACATAAATAAATTCTATTGTATATACTGTACAGTACTATATATAATACAGTATATACAGTACTTGATATATAAATCAAATCAATTGGGAATTATATAGTTATTAGAGTAAAAATAGTGTCGGATATACTATACAATAGTGAAAGTAATGACAAGAAAACAAACAAAACATACGATTTTCTCTTTTGAGCGCAAGTATGTGTTCGTAGCACTGGTGGTCAATAGGTTGGCTGTACTAGAGTTACCGTTTATGAAAACATTTTGCGGTCCCTTAATTTTGATGCGACGCGTCGGTGACAACACGTTAAGCTCATGCCATATACTGGACTCGACTAATGGCACTTGAATTGAACCATTGAATCTAATACCCGCACCATCTATACCATCGGTTTTACCATTTTTTCAGTAGTTATAGGTGTCGGTGATCAAGATAGTGATGGTGAAGATGATGGTAGTGGTAGTGTTAGCACATAGAGATTCAAAGAAATGATATTAATCAACAAATACAAGATTACCATCATATGTCAGATTAACGACTAAACCAACGAATTACTAACTATTACAACAAACACAACAACACTATTGATAAAATATATTTTGTTCAATACAATGAACATTCACTAAGAAGCTAACCTTACTCTCTCTCTCTCTCTCTCTCTCTCTCTAAAACTCAATTTATATATTTTCTTATAGTGACACAAATCACACAAAAAACACATACAAATAGACAATTAGAAATAGGATGACAAGGAAAATGTATTTGCATTGAGTAAAAGTATGGTATTGTTTGACAAATTCAATAAATATAATACTATACTCACTGTTGACCCTCAGCTTATCAGTAGCAATGACAACATTTTTATGATTAACTAAAAATAGTAGTCTCCCATCGGGTCCTTTCACTACAAATTGATTAGCAATTGCATTGATCCGACTGTTGGCCACAACTAATCGATTGTTAGCAACAATATTATTATTATCATTATTATTGCCATCACTATTGGTTTGCCGCGAGTTTATTATAATACTATCATCCGATTGTATTCTAAGACTTTGATCCTTAATATTTTGGAAATATATATAAAAGTAATAAAAATATTAAAAATTTAATGGAAAATAAGTTTATTTTTATAAAATTATATACAATGATATTTTGATAGTTTAAAATAACATTATAGCATATTATGGTTAGCGATATATATATATATATAGCACTGTGGTTGAGATAATTTTAAATAAAAACAAACTTGATATATCATATATAAGAAAAATGCATTATTATTGTTATAATCCGATAATATATAATGTAAGTTATTATCTATTTAGTAATAGAAACTTTTATTTTGTTTTCTGTATAGTTGAACGGTTATATAGTTTTACGGTACATATGATTTAAAGCACACATAACTATACAAAAACTAGCAAATAATAAATATAGCTATTTATTGAAGCAAATATTCAGTGAGTACTTAATGTCATAAATGATGAATTTTAGATGAGATTTAGCCAAAAAAAAAAGTTTATATGACTAATATATAAACTGATTGTAAGTCACATATAAGTTATATTACATTAAATATTATATATAAAAATATTTTAGGCATCATTTAAAATCCAGACCATTAACCATAAAATTATTATATTAAATAAATTATTTAATATAGTTAGCTATAAAAATTTAATACTGGTTACATTAACTTATTTTTTATTTAATACCCCATTGATGCTAATTGTCTTAACATGACTTTTGTATAAAAATAAGTTTTAATAAAAAAAACATAATATTTATTTCATTCAATATAAAGAATATATTTTTCTATAATAAAATCATTTGTCAAAATTTGATAATAATTTTTGTTGTAAAATATAATATTATTAGAAAATATTTACATTGGGGAATACTGTTAAAGCAAATACGTATACATTTAAATAACATGCATAGATAAAACTGAATATTGTATGAATATATTATGAAAAAATATAAATTTTGTCTATTTATATTTCAAGTCAATGTAAATAAGTATTACAATTCACATATAGTTTTTATCTCTGATGACTGCTTATAGTAATAGCAATTGAAAGTAATATCAATATTGTAAGTGAAACAGATATCATAAATACATTTACAATAATATAAAGAAAAGACAAAAAGAAAATACAGTATATCTAAGTGTTATATGAGAGGGAACTGGCGCTCAATTTTGATAAAATATTAAAAGATATATTATTTTTACATTTTTATTACTACAATATATTATTTTCTGTTATTCATATAGTAATTTTTAAATATATGAATCATATTATATACAAATAATAAAAAACAATCACAAATTTTAATAATGATAAGTAAAATTATTTTRTTTATTTTCAAAAAAGTTAATATAACGTTACTAAATAGTTATTTTATAACAAAAAATTAAATATTTATTTTTTTTATTAAACTCAACAAACTTTAAATGTCTAATAATTTTATTAATATTATATTTTACAATATAATATAAAAAGCATATAAATTAAATGATTTATTTTCAAAATTAATAAAAAATATACAATTATATTAAAGTTAAAAAATTATTTAAAAAGTTAAAATAAATTGATTGAAACATACTTTGCTTGAATGAATGGCATCTGCAAAGACATCTGACATTAATAAGGCCTCTCCTGATAGATGTACACCATTTGTATGTATTTTGAGTTTTCCTATACCATCCTAATGTTGTAATTATAAATATAATTATTGATTAAATAAATCTAAATTTTATTATAACTAATACTAAATCAAACTAATATATTTTATAATATAAAAAATCTAAATAATAATGATAATTATTTTTATTGTTTTGTGTTAGTTAAAATATTTTTTTCAAAACTTAATACTATAAACAATTCTAAAAATAATGAGAGTATAATTTTATTTTTGAAATAAGATAAAGTTATTTGACAATATAACTTATTTACTAAGATTAAGTTACAATAACTTATATATACTTATGCTGTATATATATACACTCAATGTATATAATCTATTAATTTATCACATGTTTAATGAATTGAGTAAAAGTGATGAAAAGAAAAGAAAATTAAGAATTTCTGGCAAATAATTGATTATAAATCTAAGATATTACCTAAGATATTACTATATTATCTATGATAATAAAAAATTAAAGTATAATTTCGCATTCAATTTATATAAACAACTTTAATTAAATACAATATAAAATAAAATATTTTTATGTATTATCAAATAAAATTTATTAATTAAAAGCATATTTGGTCTACCATTGAAAAGCTGATGACAGCAATGATCCATAGGGTTAGAGCGGCATTGATGACAACGGCTACCGTAACTAATATAATGAAAAAATATAAACATTGTTTTCTCCAGCCTTTAAAACCTATTTCATGAACCAGTAGTGACTGTTGATGATAAACAACTGGTATCGCATCACCGACACCGGTATTATTGACAAACTGTTCAAAATTTAGTTGTTCACTATTATTGTCAACAGTTTGGCAATTATTAACAAATTCATTGTAACGATGTGTCAATGTATTGGTACGACTATTCATTACATGACGACTGTCCTCATCGTTCATATGATAACTGTTTTGGTGATTATTGTCGACCATTGAGTGCATTGAGAACTGTTCTGTTGGCACAAAATCTTCAATAATATCGTCGTTTCGCAACATTTTTTACACTTTTTATTACTTGATTTACCACTTGTGAGAGCACTGTCACTGATTATCTGTTAGTCCGACAATATTACTGATTCCCATTGCGCTCATGTCATCTCAACATTTAGTATAGTTTCAGTTAATAACAAGTGTTTAATACAAAATAAAATGTTAAATCGTTTGACGTGAGTAACGGTAGTCTATATTAAAAAGAAATATAATATTTAAAGGAAATTCATTCATTGCTTCACTGATTTCTCAATTTAAATTCAAATAAGATATCCTTATATAATATATTTAGACAATATGTTTAAATGTGACAATGATATGGATCAATGACAATAAGATATTTTTATTATAATATAAAACAAAAAAAGTATATATAATTTTTAAATTAGCTATAATTATATTCACTACTTAACGATACTTCAAGAATATTCTGCAATTTATGTTTCCATACATTGAATTTATTCGTACAGTGAGTCAACACAAAAGTAGTATTTAATAAAACAAATTGCTTTTCATTTATTTGATTCATTCAAATGTAATCAAATGACAAAACAGTGAGACTATCATTAAATCAAGTGATAAATCCCTATTTGTTTCTCAGTTTCCGTCCTTTCAAATTATGTTAATGAAATGCTGCCACAAATTAGTACAACAATTATTATCACTTTAATAATGGTTTTAATTAATATCTCCGTTGGGTCTCATTATAGAAATGAAGAGAGAGAGAGAGAGAGAGAGAGAGAGACTGAATTTAGCAAAACAGAGTGATATTATTATATGATGCATATACTCATGAATGAAACAAAAAAATGGTAGTTATTATAAGTATCGTTCAAAGTTGGCAACATTGACCATAAATATGTTTAATTATGCAGTGTATTCAAACACTATCGTTATACTACACTTTAAATCCTTTTAGTCAACAAAAAACATAATGTGTTTGCTGTTATTGTATCGCTCAGTGGTATTATGTAGTAATATATGACTATTTTTCTACTTTACAGTGATATGAGTGTTAAATCCTTATATTTTACTGTAGTTATACAATACTGTATAATGCAGTTTATATCTAATTTACAGAATTGTAGTGCAAGTGTTAGGTCAGTGTTGTGTAAAATCTGATTAAAACATTAAAATAATAACTTAAATTCAATGGAAGTCTTGTTAAACACACAAAACACCAATAAAGGTATGTATGAGTTGATCTAATTTAAGGTTTAATATTATTTAACAATACTATTGTAATATCAGACATATGAGAGTTCATTATAATATAGAATAGTTGTTATAATATTAACAAACAATATTTATTTAAATACAATAATGTAATAATTTTGCATTTTATATAATGTCACACTTAATCAACTCATCTAAAAATATAATAACTGGAATAAATGCTAAATATTTAGAAAAAATGTTTTTAAACTAATATATTTAAACCATTTAAGTGTTAAGTAATAAATTTATTGTTTTGCATATATATATATAACAAAAATAACAATTTTGATGATTCAAACTTTTTTGTCTATTGTGTGAATAAAAATAAAGTAAATAAAATTAACTACAAGTTTACTATTTCTCTTATTATACTCTGTTTATGCTTAAAAAAGACCCCAAATTTTGTAGACTTAAGTGAAAATGTGTGTAAAAATGAATTAAATTAACAATCGATTGATTAAATCATGAGTTTTACCGGAGTTTCCTCACAAACATCTCCTGTCAACTCATTTCTGTCTTTTCATATAATTTGTATCCAAGACTCAAGATTTTGCAGTAAATTCATGAGAGACTATGTATTTGCTATAATCACTTGCAATCACTTTTCATTGAACACACAATTTAATTGTCAATAATTTTCTTTTATTACCAATAAATTAGTTCACAGTTTTCCCAAAGATGTTTGTCTGAACTGAAATATTTGTTAAAATAAAAAAATTATGTTAACTGTTATTTAGTTTAAATGCATCAAATTATTAATTATGAAGTTTTAATATAAAACATTTACTGAAAAATAACTATTTTTTGAATTTTATGATGTAATATTGAAATATATAATATTAATATGATTAAATTGTTTTTATTATTAATATTAATGTAAAAATTATAAAATATATATTTATAAAACGCTTAATTATTTTGTATTTGTATTTGTATTTATACACTTGTATTTATAAATAACTGGTATAAATCATTTTTATATATTAATAATAAATTTATATAAAGTTATATGAGTTAAGGTTACTTAAAATTTTAGTTTTGATATTGATGAATTATGTTATAATTTAAAAAATATTTAATTAATATTTAAATTTTTTTAATTTGATACATAATTAAACAAATATTATAGTGAGATATAATTATATACTGTATATGCTTTAATAAATATCGATTAAATATAAATTTAATTTTAAATACAATACAATTTAATATATGTGTTTTTGACACTTGTAATAGTATCGCATAAATGTATTACTTTTTATATTATATTTTTTTATAACTATTACTTTTAGATTAGATATAGTAATAAAATTGTGTTGAAATAATAATAAAAAAGAATAGATATATAATAACATCGTTGTAAAAACATAACAAAATAAATTTATATTGTTATTGTTAAATAACTTATAAAATATTAGTTTTATTAGTAAAAATCTATTTTAAAAAAGAAAACATTATTACATTTTATTTCATTACATTATATATATTTATTTAATAATTTTATTTAGGAATAACAATAATTGATAAAATTAAAAACACAAAAACAAAAAAATTATCAAAAATATAAAATTATATTTTTTATTATAATTCTTTACACTATTATTGATATTTATTTTGCTAATAAAATGAAATATTTATGATAAACAAAGTTGGCATTTAACATAAAAAACATATTATATATATATATATATATATATAGTTTATATCTTAAAATACAGGTCTGTAAACCTATTAATAAATTGATTAAATTTCCGTTTTTGTCGCACTCCTTATTTTCTATCGTTTTATTCAATTATTATCCCCTTATTTGTTGTGAATAATTTATATCAAATGTTAGAGTAATTTAATATATAATAAGTCACTCTATCTTTATCTATAAACATCACACCATTTCTTTTTATTATATAAGGCATGAGTGAGTGAATGAATGAATGAATGAGTGAGTGAGTGAGTGAGTGAGTGAGTGAGTGAGTGAGTGAGAGAGAGAGAGAGAGAGAGAGAGAGAGAGAGAGAGAGAGAGAGATCTTATAGTCTTATTACTGTATTAGTGCTCAAAACGTACGACATATGAGATAAATAATGATTGGATTCCCAATTGAAAGACCAGTGCATTACAGATAAGGTTTCAATTTGTGTCCATAAAAAACTAAACGTTAAAACTTTGCAGTGATTTTATGCATCGCATAAAGATATCGATATTTACTAGACATTAATATTCAATCATTTATATATTAATCATTAACGAGTTGCAAATGTATTTTATATTTATAGCCATAATTTATTTGACTGATAATTATTTAATATTATGTTAAATGTTAAGTTATTTAAGTTATTTCTGTTTATTTATTTTGTTTAATATTAATTTTATTTAATACGTTAATTAATTAATTTTATTTATATAAAAAATTCAATAAATATACAAACAGTCAGTATTTGTAACAATTTTTCCATTTAGTTGTCCTCTTTTTTTTGTCACAACATTTTGTTTACAGTGTTGTAAATACAGACAAATTGCAAATTTTATGTGTTGTTAGACCACTCACTAAAACACATACATTATTTGGAAAACACTGTACTGTCATATGTAATGTGTGTATTGTAAGGTACTTATCATAACATATAAAATAAAATGTAATTTAGCACATAATAAGTGCTGGAAATGTTTGGCACTAAAAATTATTCATTATTACAGTATTTATTACATTTCATAAATAGTATTATATATATATATATATATATATATGTATATATATAGTGTTTATGATATCATTGTAAGAATAATGCTAACTATTACAGTAAATAATAATATAGTGATAATATTTTGTAAATAATAATAATATTACTAATATAGTAATAATATTGTCATTTATTATACAAGTAAATTATATTAAAAATATTCTGTAATATGATTTTAAAAATGTTAGTCTAATTACTATATGATAATCGCATTATTCAATTATTGTTATTATAAAAAAAACTATTTTTTGAAGCGAGGGTTTAATTCATATATTATATAATACAATATACTCTGGAATATAATTATAATATTGAGCTCAACACAAAAATTTGTCATATAATATATAAATATATAGTTTAACATGTTTACATAATATTTAGTTTGATATACCATACAATCTAACCACTACATAGACGATAGAGCTATATAAAGTAAAAATCCTAAAACATGACTATAATAGGTATAATCTACTAAAAAAACTAATAATAAACTATAATACTTTTATAAATTATTGTATATAATGATTATACTGTAATTTTACTTATCTATGTTTATATTATATAACTAGCATTATGGCAATCTCCGAAAACATTGTATGACAGCTAATATTTAAATAGTGCTATACTATGGTGTACTGATCTGTACAGTAATGTAAAGTTTATGATTCACTGAGGCATCTAATTAGCAATTAGGTATGAATAGTGTTTGGTGTTTATGTATTGTACATCTAAACAGTAAAGTATTAAATACAGTTATAATTTATATAATATTTATATTTAATATGAATACATGTGTTAAATACACGTTTTATTTAGTTTTTACAATTGATAATTACACCAACTACTAATAATTGCAATGTTTTTAATATAGATATTTTCTCACATATATTATCACTAATTGTTTTTATATCTCTGTAATTATTATTTTTAATAAATATTACAAAGTTAAACAAATAATCATATCTTTTTTACAAAAATAAGTAAACTTAGTGAACAATTTTGTAATCATATGCATTACATTTATAATCAATTGCATAGTAATGTTAATTAAA